AAACCAGTTCAATTTGATCTGTGCAGCACATTTCATACACAGTGAACACTTTGGCTGACATTCATGAAATGTTGGTAAATCTGTGAGAAGATTTGCACATAACAAAGCTCGGTACTAAAAACCGACACCGGATTCATGAACGTCACAGAAAACTCAGATTTGATCGTGTGTACGTTCACGAAAGCCGATCAGTCGTAAACTTCCAGCGCGCTCCTGCTAGTCAGCAATTAGCCACATTATATATGTGTCATTTGATTATTTTTATTGTTTTCATCTTGTGTTGTCAGCAGTTTGGTGTTTTTATTTTGTATTACTGTAAACGATTCGCTGTGGGGCAATTAGTTGCCAATCGTTGCTTATCTGCCTCAGTGACGGTATTTTATTTTCATTTTTTGTTCTTTGTGTTTTCTTAAAATTGTCTCATTTTATTTGCTTGAATTCGGCATTGTTTTGGGATCAACCATGTAAAGCACTTACACCTTTATTCTGAAAAGCGCTTTATAAATAAAGTGCGTTACAGTGTAGGAAAAAATGACCTGTGTGGTCCTGTGGTTTGGACGACATGTTGGGATTAAGCTGATCCAAGTAAGCTAAACAATGAAGATATGTTTTCTTGTCTACTGTTTCGGTGCCCCGACTCATGCTGCCTCACGTCTGCAGGCTCAAGTGTGTGCAACACAGCTTCAGTTTGTTTATGTGAGCTTGTCCTGTCTTCTGCTGTTTATGTTGAGCAGTGTTTGGATCCTTCACTTCAGTAAAAGAACTAATACCACACTGTAATCTCTGTGGTTTCCGTTGGACTTGTACACGCTGTTGGGAAGTTAATGACAAAAAAATAATATTTTATAAACTCCTCGTGTGTTTAATCTGTAAAAACCTGAATTCACTCAGTGGCTTTAAAAGAAAAACTCAAGTTAAGTACATGTACCTTGAATTTACACAGAACAGACAGACGGGGATTTACTAGTTAAATCCAAACTGCACTCAAATAACTGCATCTGAGCAGCAGCAGATCTTGTATCAACACTTTTCTCTTTGTGCTTAATAATCAGTGTCTGATCAGTTCATGTTCACACAACTCCACATGTTCAATAATTCAGTCAGTAAAGAGAAACGTACCTCGAGGTAAATGCAGTGAGACGGTCCAGAGCGAGCTGACAGGGAGGAGGGTTACTTCATTCTGTGCTGCAGCACGTGAAGCACCACATGAAGTACAGTCCATCACACTGCCTCAGACTCTGTGAAGTTAGTGCAAAGACACACATGTGGGCACATGTGGCTTTCAAAATAAGATAAGGTAAGCTTTCTTCAGGGGAGAAATTTAGACGTTGAAGCAGCATGATGACAGGAATAAGTTCAGATAAATAGAGAAGCAAAGTAAATAAATCATGAGGGCACTCACACTAAGAATAGAAAATATATCAGAGAAATTAAAGATGGGTGTTAAAAGATTTCCTGTCACCACCAAACCTGTGGAATGCTGGTCCCAGGAAGTGAAGGATTCTCTGCAGTGATGTGCAGAGTCAACAGACTGGGATGTTCTCGGTAGGATGTTGATGGTCTGACACTGTCACTGGAAACATCAGGGAGTGCTGCACTGAGTTAGGGCTCTGTGTAGCTAGCTGTTAAAAAATCAGGTGCTCTTTAAGGAACGGGGCAAAGAGTTACTTTAAGATAAAAAACAACAAAGTCCATGGTACAGGTAGGCGGTCCGAAAATGCAGAGAAATTCGGTGCATCCCTGACAATAAACCTTGTGTTACCAGGGAACTGAAAGCCCTGCGAAACCAGAAGAAATAAACTTTCAGAGAGGGCGACAGAGAGGAAGCATGAAGCACGACAAAGAAAACTAAAGGTTAAGACTGAGGAGGGAAAAAGAGCCTTCAGGCACAAACTGGAACAAAAGCTGCAGCACGATGGAATGAAGCAGGTCTGGACTGGCATGAGGACGATCACAGGGAGAAGGGCCTGAAGCAAAAGTTTGCGCAATTTTCACCCATTCTTCCTGCAAAAGGCTTCTAGCTCTGTGAGATTCTTGGGCCGTCTTCATGCTCTGCTCGTTGAGCTCTATCCACAGATGTTTAATGATGTTTAGGTCGGGGGACTGTGAGGGGCGTGGCCAAACCTTCAGCTGGCTCCTCTTGAGGTCGTCCATTGTGGATCTGGAGGTGTGTTTAGGATCATTGTCCTGTTGTAGAAGCCATCCTCTCTTCATCTGCAGCTTTTTTACAGATGCTGTGATGTCTGGAATTTAACTGAATCCATTCTTCCCTCTACCTGTGAAATGTTCCCCGTGCCACTGGCTGCAACACAAGCCCAAAGCATCATCCATCCACCCCCGTGTTTAACAGTTTGTTCTCCAAACATACCTTTGCTCATTGTGTCCAGAAAGTTCTGTTTTACCTTCATCAGTCCACAGGACTTGTTTCC